TCCATAGTTCATGGTTCCTAATCCAGAAGCAAAGATATTCAGTTATTCAGTAAGCAAATTGGAAAGACATTATAATAAAGGTTTATATCTTTTATTAGATTCAGCTAAAATTCATCTCAAAGCCCCTCTATAACGAGGCTGCTGTGTGTTTTTTGAGATAAGGTGTTTTAGAGCAAAGAGTCTCAATAGTCCACCAGGCACTTATACATGCTGCACTGAGCTCTAAACAGATGCCAGATACTTCAAAATGCCACTCTGGTATAATGCCTCATATTGGTTTTGGCTCAAACACAGTTTTGGTTTTTTGGTCATATTTTCATCACTATAAATGTCTGAGATACTGACAAAATCATTATGTTTATTGTGTTGAGGATTTTGCGCTGGTCCATATTTTGTTAACAACTGTTTCCCCAGAATTTTAACAGCCAAACTGTGAAGTCAGGCTAGGAATTAAACATACAGAAAATATTCACTCTGCTGTGTATTCTACTTCCCCTCTGTTATGGCCCAAATTGAGCATGTTTCAGGTCTGGTAGGTATAGACCTGCATGAATTCAAATTCCTCCTATGTGCTCCTGTGCAGTGAGTTGAGGTCTCTACATGAGTGACATCTCTGATGTGTGGTGCAGTCCTCCCCATGGAAAAAACACTGCCAAGTTCCAGGTCCTTATAGTAAGAGTTCATTTATGAATACTACAAAACAACACAAGGGGGTCTTGGATAATTCTTCTGGCTCAGTGTTTTGGTATTGTAATCCCTTTAATTATCAGAGTTTCCTTGAACCCAGCTTCACCCACAGTAATGGGTTATCTCCTTCTGGACTTATTCCTGAGTGAAGAGTTGTTTTTCTTTTCAGTTTGCTGGCATTTTGATAATTGTGTGAACACTACAAGACAGTCAGTCTTCTTTTGCACACAAGCACTGCCTTGAGCAATGGAGTTCTTCTAAGTTTCTTGGTGTGAATACCCTAACTCACGTTAATTAAAATATTCCACCATATTCTGTTTCACTTTAGATATGAATATGAAGGAAGCATTTGTCACAGTTAAAAGTGTGAAGGCCTCATTTTTTTTTTTTTATTCCCTGTTAAAATCTGAATACTGAATAACAAAATGTTGGACAAGGTCTTATTTAAATTAGCCTACTCCAGCAGATGGACTATGTGACTGCTTTAACCATTTCTTTTTCTTTTTCTTTTTTTTTTTTGGTGCACTATCTAATTTGAGGGATCCTTTTTGTTTATAACCTTATGGGATCCTTATAGTCTTCTTTTAACAGAAAAGTGAAGTTTTGAGCTTCTAAAATGAAGATCCTCTGGGATGTAAAACACATCTTGTATGAATTTTGCATAACTTATATGACTTGGAAAAAAAAGTGCTAAAATTTTCTGTAGATAAATCTTAAGCAGATAAAAAATTGCTGTATTATTTCTTGTTGAGTGTTTGTTCTTTACTCGCATTCATTTTCTTCATGCGTAACTGAGCTTCTGAAATATATTTTCTCTCAGGTTAGCTATTATAATTTAGCACATTGATGTTTTTGAAGATGAATGTTGGTTTCGCTATACAGATTTCTGTACTTGGTGTTTTGTCTAATATCATCTGTAACACTGAATGATGAATGACATTTCATTATATAAGTATTCTATTTTTCCACATATTTGTTTATCCAAATGAGTTCAAATATTGTATATCTGAAATGCTGCTATGAGTGAAGAACCTCTAAATATGCTGATTGTGTACTCTACCACCATGATATTAATGAAGTATTCTCTCTCAGAAATATCAAAAGTGGAATTTGATTTTTTTTTTTCAGAACATTAAAACAAAGAATAAAATATTGGCTCAACTGAATTCATCATGAGCTTTGGTGTTACCTAAAGTGAGTCTGTGATTTCAATCCAAAGGAGGAAAAGGAGGATGAGAAGATGGGCTGGAACACAGATGCTTGCTGTAAGTCCCTGCTGTCACCCAGAGCCATGGCCCCTCATGGCAGAACAGAAGACTGAGGGACAGTATAATCCACAGTGCCTCGTGTTCCAGTGGCTGATTAAATATTTGACGTGCTAGCAGAGAAAATAAGCTCCCTTCTTTTCCTAGGGAATGAGCACTCTGAAGAGCTTCAGTTTGTTTATCATTACATTATCGTGCCTTGGAGCTGGTGAGCTGCTTTGAGATGCAGCATTGGAAGACACCAGCCTTCTTACTTGGATTACAATTCTTTTCCCAATTTTTCTCAAATTCTACATGAATTTTGTCACCTTTACTCCTACTCTGAAATGTGAAATCATGAAAATAATGAAATAGTAGTTTAAAATTATCAATTTTAAATTTTTTAGGAGGGCAGAGTTTGACTTCCTACAAAATTTAAGTGTTTGTGGTCAGAGTCCTGGACAATACTGTAAGAAGGCAAATGATTATTTGGTGGGTGATAAAGGGCTTCTGCCTGTAGGTGTTGACTATATTTTATGATTTGCAAAGTCCAAAGATAGTCCTGAATGTCTCCTGTTATTAGACATTTTTGGCTATCTGTCTTGTTAACCAGGAAGCTTTATATGCTCAGAATTCATCCTTTACATAAGTTATTTTATTTTAAATTGTTATCTGAATGCAGCAAATATGAGGCTGTCCACACTAGCCTAGACTATTTTAATTTAGAAGGTTACTTCTCATTGTAATGACTGTGGATACAATCAGACAATGAAGAAAGCTCCATATCTTATCTGCATGTTAATTCCTAAACTGTTCTTCTCCTCACAGTTATTTCTTAATTGTGTGGAAAACTAAAACTGGATGAATGACTGGTGGTGTTTCTGGGGGATTTTAGGGTTTTTGTTTTTTTTTTTTTTTTTTGTTCTGTTTGGGTTTCTTTTTGTTTTGTTTTGATTTGTTTTGTTTTGTTTTAGTGGAAGGAGTGTTTTTAACTTATTTTACATTCACACAGTTCTCTCAGAAATATTTTTTACCAGCCTTGATGACTTCAAACTTTTGAGCCTTATTCATTTAGTTTTGTCTGCATATAATTTGTAGATGTTGCTGAAAAAGTTCAGGTGAACCACCACTGAAACTAATACCTGGAAGTGTCTAGTGTGGAACATATAAAAAAAAGTTAAGGTCTGTTATAAGGCAAAAAATAGCAGTTTTCCTTCAAAACATGTTACTGCTGGAAATGCACAAGTGAATAGATTTTGCCTGGCTCAGAAAGGAGTAACAGACTGTTCCACTGCATTAGGTAGGATCAAACTGAATTTCTAGTATGCAGACTTCACATTGTGCTCTTTTGCTCCTTGACTTCTAGTACACTTCAGCTGTTGCAAAAAAAATAAAATATATATATAAAGACAGAGGATAATAATTCAGCCCAAATTTCTGTGCTAAAGACTCACAGGCTAAGAAGAAAAAGGAGGTCAGACCAGAAACAATGTTATCTTTAGATATTTTGACCAAAAAGAAATTTTATTGGATTTAACACAATGCCCTAGCACTAACCTTTTCACTCAAGCTGCTTGAAGCTTCTCTGTTACAGGATAAAACCCCTGGTATAATGGTGACCAGTTCTCCTGTGCCATGTGAAAGCTTTCCCAAGGGAAGAAAAGTCTGTCAGCAAGATATGGCCAGCTTGTTGTATTTGGCCCAGGGTGACAGAGGTAATCACATGGCTCTTTGGTAAAGGACAGAAAATAACTAAATGAAATCCCATGTCAGTGTGTCAGACATCAAGATCTAATATTTCTAAATGTGTGGTGAGCAGAATAAAAATCCTGAGTCCTGGACCTGGGATAGTCATTTGGCTGGAAGATTTTCGTTAAAATTTACACTGAAATCAACATTATCCCTTGAAAAAAATTAATTTTTTCATACTACTACATAGTGATTTTTTATTTTCATTGTAAAATCTTCAACTTTTTTAATATACATTTTTCACTCCCATCAGCACAAATCACTAGAAAATATATCTGGCTGGCCATAAAGCATTGTTAGTAAAAATATGTGCAGAAGGAATATCCTCATACCCATAATAGGCCATAAAAATACCTATGAAAAATAGCATTGACAGGTCATAAGGAGCTGTTTAGAAATAATATGCAATTAAATGTGGACATCTTAATATTTTTTCATCTTTTTATCTTTCTATGCAAGTTTTTTTTAGTAAATGATAAATGTAGAGGCACTAACAACCCACACAGCCAGTAATGTGGTTGTGTAGCTGCCCAGTACACATTCTATCCATGTCAGCAGCCTGCACACCAGGCTGATGGTAGCTGCTTACCTCCCTTCCCCTACCACAGATAAGGGTATTTGCTTCTTGTGTACATGCAAGTTTATGGAGGCAATTACTGCAAATGATTATATTTGTTATATTTTTGACTCTGCAGCCTAAATGTATCCAACTTTCTTTCTAGAATAAAGTAAATTAGAATAAATCAGAAAGAACATTCTATTTTCCTGACATACTGAAAATATTACTGGAAAACCATATTATACATGTATTACAAATCAGAATCAATTTGATATCTATTAGAACTACTCTAAACTAACCCCAGGAGTCACAGAAAAGAGTTCTGTTGGAAAGAGATTTTTTAACGCAGGCAATGTGTAAATGGCAGTAACAATAGCAGCAAAAGCAGTGCTTAAACATGGCAAATGGGGAGTGTTGCTGCACTAAGTGTGATTGTGCAGGTATGGTTGCACCAGACCATCCTTTGCAGCCACAATCTCAGTATGGCTGTGTTTGTACAGTGAAGTTCATAATTGAAACTGAAGTAGTCTTAGGAGAAAATGTATTTTATTTGGTCTGTTGTGATCCTCAACTACTCTTTCCATGAATACTGAAGTGTTCAACCTAGTATCCATACTGAGAACAGGAAAAATTTTACAGCCCAATATGTAGAACATTTTTGAATAGTTAATTAGAAAGAATTGTTTATAATTTATGCTTCTAATTTAACTTTTTTACAAAGGTTGCCCTCTAAGGAAACAGGAACACAAAGTTGTACTTACTGTAACTGGTGCAGTGTAACAATATATTCCGCAGTGCAAAACTTCACTGTTCTGTCTTTTCTTTGGTCTTCAGGCTGAGAGTTATTCAAAAGTGACTTGGAGTCTGTATATCAGACTGGCATGAACTGCCCACACAAGCCAGAAAATTTCCCAGTTGTGAATAGTTAATTTGTTCCATGCTACTTTTGCCGTCAGATAGTTCCCCATTTCTCTTCTGATTTGGTTTTCTATGAAGAACAAAAGTGGAAGTCAAAACCTACTTATATGTATGTGGTGACTACAGTGGGAATTTCTCTGTCTTCATGCCTTGCATTTAATCTCTCCACTCATGAGTCATAACTTGATGCTCACATACTCCTGGATGACACTCTTGGACTCCTTTTTGTTCACATTATTACCACAGCAGAATAAAGGCCTACATTATTTCACTTCTTGTTACTGTGGTTTATTTTTATTGAACTGAGCAGAGAAGCCCTGATTGCACAAAGGCACCTGTTATAAAACCGTATGTGAAAGATCATCTCTGTGTCAAAGAACTTGTGCCATAAACCAAGAGGGAAACAATAAGTACAAAGGAAGCAGAAGTGACATACCCAAGGTCAAAAATGTTCCTGTAGACCTCACTGTTTTTTTTCTTGAGTCTTATCTAAGGCAATTATATGAAACCTGGAATGTTGTGTGCACCAGATTAAGTTTCTATATGACATTACTTTGAAAACAGAGGATGGTTTCTACCCACACAGTAATCTCTCAGAGAGACTAATGAGGATGTGTATGAAACATCTACCGCTTGCTTTCCATTAGATTAAACACTTCTGAAAATTGGAAATCTGTCTTAGACAAAGTAAAATAGGATTATTGTAACAATGATCATCTGTGAACTAGAAGCCAAAAGCTAGTGTGGTAGACAAGTCCAATGCCATTTTAAATATCAGCCACTGAAAAGACGTAGAAAAACCTGTTGCATCAAATAAAGACGCCAATGTTAAAGAAGCTGTCTGTAATAAAAGATGGACTAGATACAAGGTTGATTTCCATTGTAAATGGAATATGTTATACTCTTCTTATTGGCAACATCTTTGCTGCACCTTCATGCAGAATTTCCCAAAAGCTTACTGAAACTAACTGTGGACTATACTGTCAGTGTTCAACATTGCCTACTGAAGACTCAGGAAAAAGAAATCTTGACTGCTGATAAGAGTGCAGCCAAACATCTGTCCCTGTCCCCAGCCACAGGCTAACACGGTTTGGGTGGTTCCCGTGGCCAGCAATGTGCAAAGAAGGGATGAGACCAGCACTCTGGACAGCTCTGATGAGCTGGCACCCCTCTGCAGAGGCACTGAGTACACTCTGCCTTTGGCATGGGCTTGGTTCAGGGCTTGACTTTGTGTCCAGAATCTGTCACAGCATCTCATAACATAGTTTCTTCTCCTAATAAAATATATTACTATTCCACTGATGTTTATTTTCTCCTAAATACTTCCTCTTTATTTTCCCCTGGGAGGAATATAGGAATTTTGTTGCTGAAATAGCCTGTGAAATTAAACTACATTAATGAGATTCATACTAGCTAACTGATTCTCACAGTATTCTGAGATACTTTAGAAAAGGTCTGAAGCCCTAATTTAGCAATATTTGTTTTGTTGTTTTTTAAATTGTGATAAATATCTAAACAGCATATTTTATTTTTATGAAATCCACTAATTTTGAATATTTCTTATTAACTCTCCCTAAAAATAATGTTAGCATTAAAATTATGTCTTTCAGCAGCTTTCTGAGTAGTTCTTTAGTTTGTTCAACAATTATTACTAAAATGGCTCTGATCTTAGGAACCCTTATTCGTGTCTGACATTCTTTCCCTGTGACTAATTATTTTTCAGACTGTTTTAATTGCAGGGTGTAGGAGGTATATTTTTGTAACTGCTAAGTATTAGAAAGGGACATGCTCTGCAGATCATTAAATGTGCTACCGGGAACAAGCATTTTTCTGAGACCAATGATATTTGTCAAAATTAGTCAATGTGTTTGTGGAGGTCAAGAGGCCATCTCCAGGAACTGTCTCCCAATAATTGCTGCCATGGTAAGAGCTGTTAATTATTTAAGGTGATATGGAGACCATGGATCTTCTCAGGAGAAATTGATTTCTTGTTTGTTTTATTTACAAACAGGATGCATTAAAAACCCTGAGTTAATTGCATTTGTTTTTTAAACAAACCCAAACTGAAATTTTTTTGACAAGCATTGCTAAAGAGAAGGCAATAAAAGACATCAAAATATTATGCATATTTCATGGCTTCCTATCAAAACACAAAGTGGTGTAAACTAAAACTCTTAAAAAATTTGAACATCTACGCTCAGCCTAGAACAGGCCAACATCACTGTGTACTTTCAAAGTCATTCACTAATGAGACTTCCTGTAAAACCTAGGTATTGCTTTGCAATGCTGTCAGGTAAAGCTTTTGCTTTCATTCTATCTGATTTTGGCAAAGCAAAGGCTCATGCTCTCCATGAGTGCCCTAAGCCCCAGGTGACAAGAGCACGTCAGGAGTGATCAGGGGTCTGAAAACCTATGAGAAAGATTGAAGGAATTGGGACATGTAGCCTAAAGAAAAGAAGATTGAAGAAGTGACACAGTAGCAAGCTTGCTAGGTATAAAGATATCCCTGGAGAGAGCTACCTCTCTATGTCCACAGTAGCTAGACAAGAAATAATAGGATCATGTTACATAAAACAAAGTTCTGTTAGGAAATAAGGAAAAGATTTCTAAAATAAAATCCAAAGCAAACCCAACCAAACAATCAAATAAAAACAAACAAACAAACACCCCAATCAAAGCAATGCATTGGAATTAAGGTTGTCTAGTGTAATTTGAACTATCATGTCTCAGAGATAACTTAGACATAATAGTTCTTGCCTTGAGGGATGTGGCTTCATCAAGCTTTATTCTAGACTTTTTTCTGCAAGACATTTATGGAGGAAATCCACCTGGAAACCAAAATAGGCTTTTCCAATGAAAATTTAATCAAACCAAGTCTGATTCTAGTAGAATGCTACATTTTTTGTCACTCTGGGGTGTTTTCTTATGTTTGGACAGGGCTGGGGGTGGGGTGTTTGGTTGTTCTTTTTTTGTTATATTTTTTTTGTTTGGTTTTTGTTTGCTTGGTTTTGGATTTGTTATTGTTGTATTCATTCAGAATAATCCTTACCACCAACTGCAGTTTTGTCTTTGGAAGGGTCCAAACCACTTGCTTTGATGACCACCAAGGGGTTTGGCACCACAGATCACTGCAGAAGGCCAGCAGTGCCAGGCACCCTGCGCTGCAGCTCACAAGCACCGCGTGCTTAGGAAATCCTGCCTTGGTGCACCCCAGAACTCCTGGCATTATAACAACCTGCAGCATGTAGTTTGGTGACATTGCTGGCTGTATTTGGAGGAGCTAAGGGCAGCAGCCCGGGTTTGGGGCAGCACTCTGGGTTTGGGGCAGCAGTTCGGGTTTGGGGCAGCAATCCGGGTTTGGGGCAGCAGTCTGGCTTTGGGGCAGCAGTCCGGGTTTGGGGCCGCAGTCTGGATTTGGGGCAGCAGTCTGGTTTTGGGGCCGCAGTCCCAGTTTAGGGCAGCAGCCTGGGTTTAGGGCAGCAGTCCAGGTTTGGGGCAGCAGCCTGGGTTTGAAGCAGCAGTCCAGGTTTAGGGCCCCAGTCCGGGTTTAAGGCCGCAGTCCCGGTTTTGGGGCCCCAGTCCGGGTTTGGGGCCCCAGTCCGGGTTTGGGGCCCCAGTCCGGGTTTAGGGCAGCAGTCCGGGTTTAAGGCCCCAGTCCGGGTTTTAGGCCGCAGTCCCGGTTTTGCCCGGGGCGCGGCGGGGCCAGCGGCGGTGCCGCGGTGCAGTTCCCCGGCGTGGGGCCAGATGGCGCTAGAGGCCGCCCAGAGGGAATCCCGCTCCGGCCGGGAGGGAGCGGGGAGCGGGAAACGGAGGCGGTCCGGGAACCCCTGAGATCCGGAGATGTTCCGGGAGCCCCTGAGATCCGGAGATGTTCCGGGAGCCCCTGAGATTCGGAGATGTTCCGGGCCCACCCTGAGATCCGGAGATGTTCCGGGCCCACCCTGTGACCCCACCGCCCCCATGGAAGGGACACCTCAGCTTCCTCGGGTACTGAGGGGATGTTTTCTTCAGATTTGCACCACATTACTAAGCTCGCATATTTTATGTGTTTTTACAGTTTTTGTCTAATTACAGCAAAGCTGACTATATTTTGATGAAGAAATAATTTACCAAAAGCTGGCATTTTAGGAAGACTAACATTATTCGGGGGAAAAAAATAGAGAACTATTAAAATACTTTATTTCAACATTTTCAGAAGATGGTGCCTTTCCTTTCCTTTCCTTTCCTTTCCTTTCCTTTCCTTTCCTTTCCTTTCCTTTCCTTTCCTTTCCTTTCCTTTCCTTTCCTTTCCTTTCCTTTCCTTTCCTTTCCTTTCCTTTCCTTTCCTTTCCTTTCCTTTCCTTTCCTTTCCTTTCCTTTCCTTTCCTTTCCTTTCCTTTCCTTTCCTTTCCTTCCCTTCCCTTCCCTTCCCTTCCCTTCCCTTCCCTTCCCTTCCCTTCCCTTCCCTTCCCTTCCCTTCCCTTCCCTTCCCTTCCCTTCCCTTCCCTTCCCTTCCCTTCCCTTCCCTTCCCTTCCCTTCCCTTCCCTTCCCTTCCCTTCCCTTCCCTTCCCTTCCCTTCCCTTCCCTTCCCTTCCCTTCCCTTCCCTTCCCTTCCCTTCCCTTCCCTTCCCTTCCCTTCCCTCTCCTTTTTATTTTCCTTTTTTCTCTTTTTTTTTTCTTTTTTTGTTTCTTTTTTCGTTCCTAAAGATCGTGTTTACTTAAAAACTTCTTGTTTTCACATTTGCTTCTCTGAGGTTTACTTGACTGGAGAAGGGAGAAATAATAATATCTAAAGTGTAAAGTGCGATCTGCACCAAAAATTGATTGGAATGGTTCTGATAAAATTAAAAAGATTGTTTTATACTTTTCCTGGTTTCACAAAGCAAATAACATAATTAAACTAACATATATTATGTAGAATATATAATAAATCAAAACTCACTTTCCCTTGGTTTTGGTTTTATCCAGTGCACACGTTCCTTATTTTCCCTTATAGTAAGTACAATTTCCAACACATTTTTTTGTGGTTAAAGTTCATCTTTTGGTGTCTGCTGAGGGTTTTTTAAGAAACCAATGCAAGTTTTA